CCTGCCTTGAATGTTATTACAGACAAGAATGAGGTAGTTACTATGTGTTACTCTTTTTTACTTTAACTTTTTTGAATGAATATACCATCTGGGTAGTAAAAAACTTATAAAGTTGAATCAGCGGAAAAATTTGTTAACTACAAACGCATGGATGTCATGTTTTATAGATAGATTTTCAAGAGTCGGTTTGTAGGGATTTGATTTGTTTTTTCAAGTTTGATCACGGATTGTTGTCAGTTAGAGAACTTGTAATTGGAAGGTCCTTGGTTAGAGCCCCGGTGGGTGAGTACTGCTAATGACTCACAAACTCAGAAACAGCTATCCAGTACTCCCTGGTTTTCATTAGTTCTCTAAGTGATATCATTCCGTGGTCACATTTGAAAAAATGGATATATTTATAAATTTCTAGAAGGTCAGTTATTTATTTCAGTTGCTTGAAAGATTCTCACCAGAATTCACACATTTTAAAAGACACTGAATGAATTGTAGCTTATATTATTAAACTAGTGACACTTAAACTTCACCGAAATGATTAACTCAAGTGAACTCAAATGTAATAGAACATTAACACCTTTAAAGTCATGTGTTCAGTGCTTATTTAATTTTACATTTTTTTGGAAAATTAAGCAAAAGATATGTTATATTTAATAACGTATTGGAGCGGATAAACACTTGCAAAGTATTTTGAATACTTGAGGGTACTTTAGTCTGTCCATTTCAACACAGATTATAGCGGTAGCTATCCGCCGACTAATTAACTACCTCTACCACTGCCCAGCCTCAATTTATTTATTCTTAGAATAAAATTTCATTTGTTATACAGCCACAGATTGGTTGAATTAAACTTTGATTCCTTAATTTCCTGCTGTTTTTTCATTGTTTAAAAGTGGAATGATATTTTGAGGTATTTTCAATAAAGTATGGTATTATTTTTTATTTAATTCTATTTTGAATTCCCCACTGAATGACTGAACTGCAATGTTCAGCCTCTGCTGACTTATGATCTCCTTGTACAGATGTTTCAACGATGTCTGATTGTTTAACTTGGAGTAATTTGGTGGACGGTAACTGGAATCCAGAATACGGATTTCGTCCCACTTGTACCTTCATTCCTCCGGTGAGCGGTAGTGTTCTCACTTGGGTTCGAACCCAGTACTCATTGTTTCCAATATCAAAGCGTTTTCCGGCAGGCCACCTGTGCTACGAAGCGCGCATCCTGGATTCTAGTGCTAGTCATCATTCAACAAAGAACTTAAAGTACAATATTATTATTTAAAAGCGGTGTTGGGATATTTTGTGTTACTGGTTACTTATTATTATTGTTCCCTTGGATTCCTAGTGGAACATGGGGCTTCAACTGCACGACTCCACTTGCTTCTGTCTTCTGCTGTACTTTTCACTTGCATCCATGTTAGTCCATACTGTTTCAGTTCCTCTTCACACGATCTCCTCCATGTCACTCTTAGACGTCTCACTCGCCGCTTCCCGTTCGGGTTCCACTCGAGCTATGGCCTCCTCAGCGAGTGTCCAATCCATCTCCACTTTCTCCTGCATATTTGTTGAGCGATTGGTTCTTGTTTTGTTTGTTCCCATAGTTTCTGGTTGGTTATTGTTCTTTCCGGCCATCTGATCTTCAGTATAGAGCGAAGACAGTTGTTGATAAAGGTCTGCAACAGGCTGTTGAAAATATTCTTTGTGACCCCCCAAGTTTCTGATCCGTATAGCAAAACTGACTTGACGTTTGTATTGAAAATCCGAATTTTGTTGTTGATGCAGGCTGAGTGACGAAGATTTCCAGATTGGTTTCAGGTTGATGAATGTGTTTCTCGCCTTCCCGATTCTCGATTTGACATCCTCGTCCGTTCCTCCAGTAGTTGAGACAATGCTCCCTAGATAAGTGAATGAAGTAACCTCTTTCAAATCCCTCCCGTTGATGGTGATTGGCGCTGGATGTTGCTGCTGTTGTTGGTTATTTTCATAACCTCCATCTTGTCTATGTTCACCTGGAGTCCTGTCTTTGCTGCTTCTTCGACCAGTTTGTCGGTTTTCGAAAATAAAATAAATTAATCTCTATCTGCAGTAAGAGCTTTTTGTTCTGTTGGTAAGCCTTCATTCAGCATATCATCTAGATGGGGAGATATAGGCAGTATAGACTCTTTCTTAACCAAGATCGTATATAAAGGCAAAAGTGTGAAGAATAATAAAGCTTCTGTATACATATGTGATTCAGTGGAAGAATGATCGTAAGTCATGCAGTGAGTTGGGTTTTATTCCCAGTCGACTCACCCTATACGTCGCCCAGTTAATTGGCTAGTAGTGAACCTGGAAGAGAGGGAAGGTTGAATGTAACGTAGAAACAGAACCACCACTACTACTAAAAAGCGTAAGACCCTGTGTTCCATCCAGAACTCAAGGAATGGAGGAGGGAGTTCTGTACAATCGTAATTTACACAAAAAGGAATAAGCATTAGAACATTAAAATATTCCAAAACATTTGTATCTCACAGTATTAAATGTTAGCCTACAAATATTGCTTAATCCTTAATTATTCAATATATTTCACCAGAAAATGAAGAATAGAACTTTTGTATTTGATTTCGTCAGCTTACACCCACAAAGTGCTACGAAACCTATACCAAATGTTATATTTTCCTCCAGTTAGACAAACAAAAGAAATGTATCATTCTGAATGTTACATTTTACAAGAATGGAAATTAGAAGTAATAAAAATTTTAATAATTATGTTGAATAGATATTTTCAGAGTAATTTAAGTTGGAATAATTAAATAACAGATGGTGCTGGCATTTGAAATTTCGGAGTTGAATGAAAATGAAAAATTCTGTTCCATTATGATTAACTTTGATTTATATCATACGAAGTTTTTAACTGGTCAAGTGAGAAAATATTTCAAATTTTGATCACGGATTGATGTTAGTTAGAGAACCACTGGAGACCAGAATGTACTGGACAGCCATTTCTTCCTAATTCGGGACTCTTCATCAGTACTTTAGGCAATTTCATCCTGTAAACAGTCAGTAGTAAGCATCAAACTTGAAACGCTTGAAATCCCTACAAATTAAATCTTGAAAAAATGTTGGCTACTGTTTAAGAGACATGTGACGAAAGGAATTCATGAAGGCTAACTGGGTTTGTAATAGGTTATGACTGTATGTTCACATGTTCACCCAGTTGTTATAACAGAGTAACCTAACAGTAGTTGTATTTCTTGATGTTAGGGATGCCTTCACTTATGTGGACTGTTCTTTTGAATTGTCTACGAGGAGGAAGTGTGTCTAAGATGTCTGTCACTATTTTAAAATCAGTATTCAAAACACTTCAGGTGAAACAGGGGCATGCAATCACCTTGTTATAAAGACAATGTTGTCCTACCGTGTAGTGAAATACAGGCTACCCGAATTGCACTGAATCATTTAGAGTGCAGTGTTGGTGATTATGATACGTTTTGCACCTTCCAAGTGCATAATACTGTTTCGTGATTGGCATGATCTCTTGGCCACATACTTTAGCAGGTGAACCGTTATTAATTAGTGAAGAAGGTGTATCTAGGTAGTCATGAAGACAATGTAGAGGCCTATTCCACTTTTAATCGTTGTCATCCCAATAAAGTTGCTTGCGTCCAGTGGCGTTACAGTGTAAGCAGTTGTAATAGCCAAAGGTATTTGTTCAGACAGGATGGCGGTCATTTTTACAGTAGAGGACATCACCTTGAGACGTTGACTTCGGTGGCTTAGATATGCAGTTCGAATGTCATCTTAGTGGTTTTCCTTCCATTCAATCACTTTTTAACCTTGAATTAGGTTAGAAAAATTGGAAAGGTGATGAAGCTGTAAGACGAAGCATAGCTGTGTTTGACTGGAAATCCTTAGGATGTATGCATCTGACTGATTCAGGACGTAATCAGATATGAGCCAGAATCAAAACCAATGTAAGAACCTACGGCAATTTCCTTCTTTTCTACCTCTGATTGTACTGAATGCTTTTTCCAAATGTATTTGATAAGTGGGCCTACCTGTACCACTTTGCTGCTCTCCAATTAGATCTCTCTTCTCCTTATATTAATGTTGTTATTTTATCTAGTGCCCCCATATCGTACCGATTTTATTATTTAAATAAATAAATGATACCGAATACTGATTTCTAACTATCATCTTGAGGATGTCAGCTGGTAGTGAAAACTAGTTAAAGCATTTGTTACTTTAGTTCATGGTGTTTTTACGCTATAAAATGTTATAGTTTTCATATAACAATCTCTCATATTCCCAGTGAAGTAAAGGCATTCTTATTATTCAAACACTGCTTCAATCAAATCTACAGTACGCCTAATAATTAATGTTGAGCAGTTAAAAATCAAATACTGCGTTAAAAGATTACTCTTGAATTCATTAGTCCTGTGGACCAGCTGACGATTTTTATAAAAAATAACGTCGTGAATTTCTTTTCTCGAATCAGTGTATAAGAACGGCATTTTTTTAAGGGTGAACTTTCTAAGATACGAATCTTCATCGACTACCCCTTACCTCACAGGCACAAAACTGGAGTGTTTCGCTACAATGACGAACTCTGCGGAAGATTACTGAGGTTCCTGCTATCGTATACCTCTTATTTCACTCGCTGTTTCCTTAAGAAACATCAAGCGCTTATTCTTAAATCAGATACACGTGACTATCAGTTGCGAAGTATCAAAAGTTTGCAAAACTTGAGCAAATTTATCTCAAAGTCACTTTCAAACAATTCAGTTTATACTAAATTAATTCCGTTTCAATAGAAATGAAACCGTCTGTAATAAATCACTATCATCTTTTATTGTTTCGAAGGGAATTACTTATCATGAAAGTTTTATTTGGTCTTTTTATTTTGCCTTATTTTTTAAAATTAAATACTATTACGTCATTGCAGAATACCGAACAAAAGTTTAACATCAATTTTAAGTTTATTTCTACTAACCATATTTGAAACTATAAAATAAATCTTGATTCAGGTGAAATGTTCTTTAAAGGAAGTGAAACAGAACAGACAATGAAGGATACTAAAGAGAAGCCGGACACTAACGAAGTTTCAGTGACGACTTTATGCAAAGAAGAAACTGATATCCAATCGACCTCATCAAAATGTATTCCTTGTTCTCAGTTGTAGATAAATACTGCACTGCATGATTGAATATTTTAAACTATATCAATCTCTGTTGATGTTGTGTAGAGTGTATGCATGATAAATTACTTCACAGAGTTTAGTCACATCACGCCGTGTTTCATACGCTTTTTTCATGCGAGTTTTCAGAAGTTATCATCTACTAAATAATTGTTTATCTTTCCTAGACATATTGCTTAGTCGACGGCTTGATGGGTCAATAAAAAGATCTATTTATAGAAAACCTACCTGGACAGGACAGCATCTTAATTACCACAGTTTCTGCCCTGTTCGGTACAAAAGAGCCTTAGTAAGGTGCCTATTCAGTAGAATCCAACGAATATGCACTGAAGACACACTTGATGTGGAAGAAAGAATGTTGACACAAACTCTGGTTGGTAACAACTATCCAGACAAGTTCATCAGGAGATATAAAGTAGTCAGAACACCAAGACCCACTCTCCAGCTCGCCCCTGAGAAAGACGTGTACATCAAGCTGCCCTATATGGGGCATCAAAGTAGCTTGATAACTAGACAAAGACTGAAGGCTGCTGTCAAAAAGACTTTTTATGCAGCCAATATCATAATAATAGAGAATGTAAAGCCAATATATCTATCTAAGCCCTTCGAACATGCGAAAAATGACGTCACATCCCACTGTATTTACCAATTTGAATGTACGTGTGGACACACATACATAGGGAGGACTCACCGATCTCTGTAAGTAAGGGCTTCAGAGCATATTCCTAAATGGCTCCAGAAACAAATGGAATCTTCAGAACCTATTAACGGTGAGAACAGGAGACCTAGCTCTTCTATTGCGAAACATATTATAGAGACAGGACATAAAATTGATGTTAACAGATCTTTTAAACCTATCTATAAAACGTGTTTGGGGCGTATCCTAAAGTTTGTAGAAGCCCTAGCAATTAGAAAGTTTAAGCCACCTTTATGTGTTCAAAAACAATTCGTCATCACATTAAACCTTCCTTGGTAAATTTTGTTTTGACACCATAGCAGATGCACTCTTACCTCTGTTATTTGGTTTAGTGGTCTTCATTGTTACTTTGACCTTGAATATGTCTTTTAAACTTGACCTAAGTCTATTATCTCACCTCTTACCTCTTTATCAATTTCATATATATTCCTATGACAAGTCCGTGTGTGATCAGATTGTTCGAAATGTGTTGCGGAAATACATTACACGATTCAGACAAATTACGTCTTTTTATTGCTTAACCAAAATAACGAAGATTTAAAATTGTTATTTTAGAGATTGTCTAAACACATTTAGGCTCGTTTCTGAGTAATACTACATAGAATTTCATAACATCGACTCAGTATTCTTTTCCAAGTAATGATTCGCTAGGATTCGATTGATTTCAGTTTGGTCCACATAGTGGTGGCATTTAGAACACCACTATATACCACAAAGTACGTAACAACTGTTTGTTTCTAATATACCACTCTTTAGTGGTACACTGGTATGATTTTCAAGTTACGAGGTGAGTCCATTAACCACTGAGCCACTGGCCAATAAATTCTAACTTCTGCCTATTCGCGATATATAGCATCTCCAGTTGGTAGTGCCACTGGTGAGTATTTGTTGTCGCAACTGGTAGATCTCACTGGTCACGACTTTTCACTAGAAGTTCAAGGAACTTCATCTTGAATTAACTGACTAGTGAGCACTAGATTAATTTCAAGTGTTGGCTTGCAGAGTGCAATCCCCACTGAGACCACAGATGAGTTTTGCTGAAAAGTTTTGAGGAAGGGCGAAATAGCTATCGAGAATTCCATGACATCCAACTGTTCTCTAACTAATTTCAGCTTGTGATTTAGCTTGGAATCGGCATTCTTTATATATTCATTTTCCATAGCAGCCAGACGCTTCATGAATTAATATCCTACCTTAATTTGACCATACATAGCCATTTCAAGCCAACTCTAAAAACACAGGCTGAGTGTTATGTTAGATTTCAAGTCAGATTATCTATTGTATTTCCTAATTACTATCAATTAATGAAGCTTAATGCTTCATAGGTTTGTGTGCTTTTGCCACTCACCAATTAACAGTTTTACACTGCACCTTATCGAACGAAATTCGAAAAGACAAAGATATTCTAATCCTTAGAGTTTGTCTGGTTTCTAGACAATAATTGATTGTTTCTTAAGGTCATATCACAGAATGCAGTATTGGTACAGATGCTCAACCTACTACCTGCATTCAAGTGACTTATAAGCAATAATAATTGACTTAATTGTGTAAACTCAAATTCAGCTTTTTTCTCATTCAGACCAATATCTTATCAACTACTAAAACATGCAGGCTGATGCAGTCTTTCAGATAAATTTACAAGTAAATGTAATGTGAAACCTAGTTTTTATACCTGATTAGTGAGTTTGTATCTATTGGTAGACGGACAGACCAACAGAGAGGTGGATGAACAAACAGTCTGCATTGCTTAATCTACTTATAATATCGGCAGACAAATTTTCATTCTTCACTCAACCAGCATAGGCTAACAACTAAATCTTTAACGACTGAATAAGCAGAAAAATGTACCTAGATCAAAGAATTTAAGTTAGAAATATTTTTTCTACATTTCATCTCAAATAAAGAAAGAACAATTGGCGGAAACAACTTAGATTTAACGGAAGGTAAAAATAATACCTGCTAGAATGCTCACCAATGTTTTGGGGTTCGATTCCAGGTCGATGCACATATAAACCGTCTAGTTTAAAAGCCTACAGTAAGCTAAGGGGAAAGGTAAGGTTCGACGTTAGACTAGTAACCCCACTATACAGACGTAATATTGTAACAACAGAAGACAACGGCCAGGCAACAAATCGTTTATTAAGGAAAATCAACACATATTTATAGATTTTAATGTACATTATTATAGATTATTGTTAGTAGAAAATACAGTCTTTTGATTGGTTGTTTCTCACAGAAAGTTAACTTTGCATCTCTTTGTGGCTGTGTCAGATCATCCATATGCTAACTGTATCCGCCTACGCAAAGCCTTTGTTCTCATTTTCTCACCACCAATATTGGGGACATAAACATTGACGTCAATTACCGTCTACCAACTTTGGCTAGCAGCCAGCTCTCACCACAATATTACTTCAAAGCTTGAGGCTCTATATCCCACCCAGAGTGCAAGGAATGGTGAAACAATTAAGTCTAGATAACTGGTTGGTAACGCCAGAAACTTGAAACATGACAATCTTAGGCTAATTCATAATCGGTTGACGTTGCTGATGTCTCCTAATCCGTCTTTAGCCATTCATACGTTTGTTCTAGTAGGCTTCTTATTTGTTGTTTTATTGTGACAGGGCATACCCTGAAGTAATCTAAATATTCTATAGTTTATTTCACAGTGTACAGTTGCGATGTCATATCATTTCAGTACAATATTTTGTATTGATTTTATTGTCTGCAATTGTATTGCTCATCTACTACCTCTGGAATACAACTGTTTCTTTGCTTAGCATGGTTTTCACTGATATTTTGTTTCATTTCATTTTACTCAATATGCATGTAAACAGGGTGAATGCAGTGACACTCTATAATTTCGTTTGTCCGCAAGTGCATTTTGATTTTTTGTTTCCCATGCATGCAACCTCTTTGATCACAATATATTTTCAGCATTTTATTTATCAGGAAGATTGTTTTACAACAGATGAGATAGGTTGTCTATTTTCCCGATTATTAGGTTCATGAGGTTTGATTTGCTTCTGAAGCCATGCTCTGAAACTCTAATTTGCAGAGATCGATGAGTCCTCTCTATGTATATTTGACCACGCGTACATTCAAACTGATAGATACAGTGAGATATGAAACTATTTTTCGTGTACTCCAATAGTTTAAATGGACATATAGGCTTCCTATTCTCGATTATTTGGATCTTAGCTGCATCGAAAGTCTCTTTAACCTCAGCGTTCAATATTCATCTAGTTACCACTCTGGTAAGATCAACCATGTAGGGTAGCTTCATATATGCATCCATCTTTACGGCAATTTAAAGAATGGATCTTTATATTCGAACCTCTTTAAATCTTTTTGTGAAATCCAGATAAATGAGAATGTTAACCTTATATATCCATCTAAGCCTTGAGAGCATACGGAAAATGATGCCAAATTTCACTGTATTTACCAATTTGAATGTACGTGTGGTCACCCATACATAAGGAGGACTCATCGTTCTCTGCTAGTGAGGGCTTCAGAAGTAAGTCAAATCCCCTGAACCTATATCTATTAATGGTGAAAACAAACAATCTAGCTCTTCTGCTACGAAACATTATGTAGATACAGGGCATAAAATTGATGTCTACACCTTTTTTGAACCTATTTATAATATTATTTTAGTTATGTTTTCACATATGAAAATATTCTTTTTAATTTCAACCATCTGAAGCTTGAGCAAAATGAAATATAGTTTATTTGTTTAGAATTTAGTAACATTTAAGTTATAATGGGAATCCCTTTTTGATAATAAAATTAAATATTAAATTACATTTAATTCATATGCCGATTCCGTTTTAAGTCTTTTGTTCTTTTGATTTTCTCAATGCACAGACTTCAAGTAATTCTACACTTAATTTTGTGTTACAGTTTAGAAATGTGTAAAAGTTGATGTCAAAGTGCAGTGGAATATATATGTAATATAACTTATTATACTAGATCTGTTTTATTTTAGATGGTTGGAGTCAATCAGCAGAAAGTTCTAGACCTAGGTTTCATACTTGTTTGCACTCATCAGAAAGGTGTATCCACGACCTAGAAGTATACTGCTGTCCCCATTGAAACTTAAACCCGCATCACTTTGTGTTGTAGTCAGAGACGTTACTACTGAGTTATAGATATGATGGAGATGATTTGTAGCTCAGGTGGATGATTTTGATGTAGTTGTGTTCTCTGAGCTGGATAGTTTATTTGCTAAGATTTCATTTCCCTACTAGGCAACATCTTCAGAGCATACTTCAATTTGTTGAAATGAGCTTTTAGATTTCTCCACGAGTTCGTTAGTCATCTCTCCCAGTGAACTCGAACGTAATTGGTTAATTTTGTGTGTTCTCACACCCTCTAGGCTACTTGTATTGGCACTGATTGCTTCCTTGACCTAAACTTTGACCCTTGTATCGATTGGTAAAGTTTTTCTACCTCGATGCGTCTATTGATTGACGATTCATTTGAATACCAGGCTTCTAAAAACTCTCTATCATTCTTGGTGTTTCGTCTGTCTAATATTTGAACGTTAGTTGTCCCAGTCCAATTGACGTCCGGGGTTGTCTCTATGCAGTGATATGAGGGAGTGTATGTCATGTTTTTGACGACTAGCTTATGATCATGGATACGAAGGAGAAGGGGACGTCCACTTTAGCCAATGTACTGTTTTTCTCAGTCGTTGCAAGTTATTTTGTAGATATTATTGGTCATCAGAAGAGATGACTAGTAAACTTGTGGAGAAATCTAAAAGCTCACTTCAACAAAATTGCAGTATACGCTGAAGATGTTGCCTAGTAGGATAATGAAAGCTTCGCAGATAAACCATCCAGCTCAGAGAACACAACTACATCAAAAACTACTGAGTTATTTGAACTAACAATTGACCTTATGAAGAGTGTAACATATATACTGAATGAATACTTAGGAAGCTTTAGAGAGTCACTTGGTTTGGTGACTATGTTACAAACTTGACTGATAAGAATTCTGTCAGCGCCATCACCAAGGACTGGTCGCATGATATTATGTTTTGTGAATACAATTCGTAATGACTCGCCTTTTTTGATATCTTAACTTATGAAAAGTCATTGCTATGCATACATTGGGACTAACATTATTACTGACTGAGGCTACGTCAAATCTTACAAGGAACATGAGTTTTCTCAGTGATACAGATATGTTTTTGGCAAACAGTGCTGACTTCACAAAGTTGAAGCATATTCTCCTTTCTCTTTTCTCATCCAATATTTGTTAAATATTTGATTCTGAATGGTAACGGAATAATCATTTGAATCGCTTATCTTCTAGAAGCGATTTCATATAGTGAGACATGCGATGACTGTTTCTAAAATCTTTTTTGTTTGATTTTAAATGTAAAACACATTAACTCATATTTTACATATTGGACATATTTGATAAATCTACTCTTTTTGCTAATGAGTCAGATTGACTTTCTATCTGACCATCATCATTGTCATTAGTTCATATTAATCAATCGATATATCCTGCCCTGCAGTAGGATACAATGAGTTTGTTTATGATTCATACAGTGAGCAGTATGAAAAATACGATTTTATTAGTAGGCTATTGATGAAAGTCATAGAGTTAATCGGTGTTAGAACACAGACGATATAGATTCCAGAAAATATATTTGTAATAAGTTACTTAGTTTCACCAATATGTCTCTAGTTTTTTCTTTGATTTTGGTACAATAAATACACTTCGACTGTGACTAATATATAAATGAAGTAAATTCAAACCATAATACTCTCTGTTGAGACGAAATTACTGGAAAAATGAAAGAAAATAGACATTATGAGCAATTCTCTGTATTGTCATTAATTTGAACTTTATTTTCACATCATTTATACTCAGTATACACCAGTTTATACGATAAGTGTATCTTCATTCTTATCGCATGGTTCCTCTCTGTTGTGTGTTCAACATTTTCTACAATTCCCTGCTTTATCATCACTATTATCTTAATATTGTTTCATTAAACTGTAGGTAATCAAGAGCAAACAAGATCTGGAGGAAAGAATAAGCCCGCGCGAGTTACTCGAAGCGGGAAACAAGCATCTGATGTAGAGAGACCAGAGGTAAGTAAATAACAAATTTAAACACTTGACTTTATAACATTTACTTTCCTCCATCTCAAAAAAGCATAGATAACAAGTATTAATTTTTTTGAGTTTAACAACGGATTGATATCAGTTAGAGAACCATTGAAAACCAGCGGTTGAGTACTGGACAGCTGTTTCATCCTAGTTGGGAGGTCGTTGGCAGTACACACCAACTGCCGGGGTTCGAACCCAGTACCTTCCGGTTACAAGACAAGTTCGTATACCATTCAGCCACTGGGACCCAATTCAATGGCCAGCACATGAATTCTAACTTCTACCGATTCGTGAATTTTAGCGCGAGCACCAACCGATGTCATCGGCGGGACATCCATCCTCACTTCCGACAGGATGTACCCCACTGGACACGACTTCTCACTAGAACTCCAGGAAACTTCGTCCTGTAGCAAGTCACTAGAGGGCATCAGATTAATTTTCAAGTGTTGATTTGTAAGGATTTGATTTATTTTTCGAGTCAGACCACAAACTGGTAGAAGTAACAATTCATGGGCTGGCCATCGAATCGGATCCCAGTGTCTGAATGGTTTACGTGCTGGTTGGCCTTGTAACCGGAAGGTCCTGGCTTCGAACACTGGCAGCGGGTGCCTACTGCCGTTGATTTCCAAACTAGGATGAAACAGCTGTCCAGTACTCCCTGCTGGCTTTCAATGGTTCTTTAACTGATATCAGTTGGTGGTCAAACTCGTAAAACAAATCTACTCCTTACAAACCAAATCTTGATAATTACATTTTGGTTAAATATTGTGATATCAAAGTAACTTTAATTAACTTTATATGCATACGAGGAATTATTACGCATTTGTGTTGACGGAAGGCTAAAGACATTCATTAACACATCCCTTCATTCGATACTGAATATCAGATAGTTGGCCTGGAAAGATAAGCAGAATTCTGGTTGTACAGAGAACCAGTCAGAAACCTATTGGCCAACAAACTTGCAGAAGGAAATAGACATGGATTGGACACGGATTGAAGAGATTGCTGACCGAGATAAAGTTACAAGATAAATTTTGTCAGGAACCAAAATCAATTGTGGAAACATTGGAAATCAGGGGACACTGAACACTTGTCTCAACTCAGTTCTGAATCCATGTATCCAGACACAGGGTGCATTTTCCTGAAGAACTAGGATGAAACAGCTGTCCAGAACTCCCTTACAACGTAATCTACCTTGAAATTAGTCAAATTCGTATAAACGGATACTTGTAAATATGATTTATAAAAATGAGGTTTGTCTGTTTATTATACTAAGACATCAAATGCAGCTACTCATTTTCACAGATCATCTCCCTGGAACTCACTGGTCCATTTTAATACATACAGGATAGAGTGTAAGATTATAAAAATTTTCTTAGTGCGTCAAACAAAAAATAGAAACACCTCTGAGTTAGCAGAAGCTAGTTATGACGTATCCCTGAGTTCAAACTGGGGTGACAGTGTGCCCCAAAGAGGTAAACACTGTTGAAAAGTATACTCTTCATGAACATTCAGTGCTACAAGCTATCATCTTTCTTTTTTTTAACTTAGTTAACCAAAACTGATAGTTCGGTGAACAAAATCTTTCATTTGCAGTTTAGTTTTCTGTTTCATTGATTCTTAATTTTGGTATTTAAATTTGGAAATTATAGTTGATATTCACATATTTCACTTCCTGAGAAGTTGTTTGGTCTCTCCGTTTGCCTGTTTACAACTTAAACGTTAGTACTATGACAAAAATGTCTATATATCAAATAATTGTTAGAGAATCTTTTGTAACTACTGCTACGGAGAATATCAGCATATGCAGATAGTCGCTTTCAAGATAAATAGAAGTGAAATAAATCATTGAATCACAGTAATTATTACAAGTACCCTTTTTAAAAGAATCTACACTATTAACCTAAGGCTATCTCAGAAAGTGATGGTGTTTTACAGGCTGACTATAGCTAATTCACCTTATAAATCTTTCCTGTTTTCCAGACTTACTATTGGCCAGTAAACTACACGAGGTTTAGACGTAAGTCGTCTGGGAACCGGACGCGAACCTTCTGAGTGTCTGGGTAGCATTCTACCAGTGAACCACAGACGTAACATTATATATATACTTTAAATAACCTATCAAAACTATGCCTTTCAATCAGGCCGTGATATGAAATAATCACTGAGAGAAATTATTAATTTCCGGATATGCATAGAGTGGAAAATAATCACAGAAGTCAAGGATAAAGTAATTTAATTTAATTAGACCATGAGTTTTTGGAGGTCAGTAACAGGCTACTATATAATTTCTGGTTTGTGGAATAATTAAGATAGTAAACTATCATTTCCTTCTCGCATGATTTCCTCCATTTCACCCTTGCATACACTCCCAACTCATTGCTTCTCATTAAGGTTCGACTAGATGGTGTGACGTCTGATGTCACTCCATAGTCTCCTGTGTGTGTGGACAGTCTATCTCTAATTCCCTCTGAATATTTACTGAGCAATAGATTCTAGGTCAGTTTGTTACCAGTCCCTTTTTGCTTATACTTTCTGGTCGACCGTCTGATCTTCAGTTTGGAGTGAAAACAGGCGTTAATGGAAGTCTTTAGGCTGTTAGAAATGCTTTTCCTGTCCTTAATAGAATTAATAAGAACAAGACAAGTGGTTCAGCGAAGAGGCTGTTTTCGGAGAATTCATTCAGAGAATCTCATTTATATCCAATTTTTTTTCATAAAAGAAGGTATAAAACAAAAGTGATGAGTTGTCACAAATAAAGCTGCTGATACTGGTTAATGCATACAAGAAGTTGAATAAGTCTATTATAATTACGTAATTAGATTAATAATTTAATGAGTGCGTTGTCATCAGGATGCACATAGAAACGAAAGAAAATATGGAATTATGTAAGAATTCTAAGGAAATACAAGAGTTATTATGGAGTTAGAAAAACAAACAAGAAAATAAACGAACAAAACAAACCAACAAAAATGAAATCAGTAAAAATCAACTAAATTGTCACCACCACGATATTATAGTGGCTTGAATAATTTTATTTTGTATGCATAGTTCTGGTTCTTCCAAATGAAAGGCTAGGGCTTCTGCAATGCAAAGAAGACGGAAACCTGTTATCTTTGGCAGGTTGTTCTTCACTTTGTAGACCACTTTGAAGCAGGAGGCGTTTGTTGAAATGGAATGACCAGTGGTGATGAGATGTTTGATAATCGCACTCCCCCTACAGCCACTACTACATTTCTGTAACCATGTGGGATAGTGTTCTTCAACCCTTTCGGACAGGATGTGCGTCAAACTAGCAATGTTCATGGTACCACAGCAAGAGGTGGAGTGATATACACACATGGAAGTGAGCATTTGCGAGATTTTGTCTTTCGGCCTTCTGCAGATCAGCGAGCGACTGGAGAACACTACTTTCAGCCACGTTGCTGAAAAGAAAGTTCTCCTTAAAGCAGTGGAAATTCTCCTCTTAAGGACATCACTGAGAAGGTCACTTTTGAAGTCGAGGTTCATATAAATTATCACTGTTTGGCACGGATGGCGTCTCTTGCTTTTGGATTTTCTGTTTGATGTTTTTGTCTTTGAATCCTGGTGGATTTCTTTCAGGAAGTGTAATTCTTCTTCCGAAGCATCAGGGCTGCAGACGCGTTGGACACGAGCAGCGACAGACATGAATAAGTTCTGTTTACGACTAATGGGTACCTAGCTATAGAAACTTGTCAGGTGGCCATTCCATGTGGGTTTCCTGTGGGTCGACATTTGATAACTGAATCTGACACAAAAGTCTGAATCAGTAACAAAATTCAATTTCAGAGAAAGCTGATTCAAGTCCATATAGCGTTCGCCACTTCTTTTCCTCACTCTGAGATTGTCAGAAATAAAATACATTCTAGGATGCCAGCTATAGAACCATCGGAAAACCTGAGAGTTATGGACCACTGTTTCACCCTAGCCTGGGACTTTTCATCAGTACGCACCCACCACAGGGGTTCGGACTCAGGAGCTTCCAGCTACAAGGCAAGCTCTCAAGTCCTGGGTTAAAAACCCATGAGGTTGGTGTGTACTGCTGAAAATTCCCAAACTATGAGGAAACGGCGGTCAAGCATTTCCAGGTTTTTCGAAGATTCTCTGACCGATGTTAGCTCACGATGAAATCCTGTGATCAGTCAAATCCCTGATAACCAACACTTAAAATATATTCCATCTAACGTTTTATCAAGATTATACAAAAAATATCTCAAGCATACTAATGAGTTCATCAACACTTTTCTTCTTGTAGTCAACATTGGGAGTAAGATGAAATTATATAGAAATATAAATTATGTTTCAGACATTATGTTTTTTTTAAACAGTTATTCTAATGATTATTCTCTATTCAGCAAAACCTGAAATTTCACTTTAAAATCTCCTTACTAAACTAATTTTGAATATTTTCACTTGAAACAGTAAGAAAAATGGGGACAGTGTTCGTCTGAATAAGTGATACGATTTCATGAATATAAATGTCGGAAATATTTCATGTCCTCTTAATAAATAAAAAAAAACAGTTACTGAAATAAAAGGAAATAAATGTAGTTATCGCGTGATTGGAAAAATATTGATACTTTCTCCTATAAAGTCCTTTCATCTCTCTTCCATCTATAAGCACTTTAACTGAATGGTTAGCAAATTCAGTGGAGAAATTGAATGTCTATCGCTAACTGCTAGTTTTTATATTTTTTTATTAGTGTTATAGGAAACTTTAAACCGACATTTTTTTCTCCTTAGTCAATTTAGAACAGGTAATGAATGTAAAACGTAGCAATATTTAATAAATTCATAAATTTTCAAGTGTTGGTTTGTAGAGATTTGATTGGTTTCAAACCAGATCACAAACTGATATCAGTTAAAGAGGAAATAGAGAGCACGGAGTCCTGGACAGTTGTTTCGGGCTAGTTTCAGACCTTTCAGCAGTACGCATTTATGGCCAGGACCTTTAGTTAACG